AGGCATGGTCCCACTCTCAGGTCAGTCTGGTGTAAAGAAATAACACTGTGCAATGCATCATACGTGCACTGCAAGAATGAGAAGGCTGTGACGGTTCTTCATAAAAACCCATGGGAAACTTCCTTCTGATCCTTGGGCCAAGATTAGTCAGTTCTTTTACAGAGTAACTGATCCCATAGTCACTGTAAACTTCAAAACTTACTAAGCCTACTTTCGTTGCTGCTAAAACAAACAACAAACAAACAAACAAAATCTCACAGTATCCATTTGTGGCCCACTTTAGATGCCTTTTAGCAACTGTCACATTGCTTCTTTAGTCAATGTCTCCAATCTTTTCCCCCCATTTTTTCTTTCTCAGCTACTCCTAATTTGAAGCATAATATTTTATGCTTCCTTAATCTTCTAGGGGAAAAGTTACAGTAGAGATAAGTTATAAAAATTTTTAGAAGAGTGGAATAATATGTGCTGAGCCCCCCAAATCCTAAAAACCGATTAAAAAAAAATCCCTTTTAAATCTCTACTAAGCACTTTTTATGTTTTGTTTTGTTTTTGTTTTTCTTGCCTTATTTAGGCTCTCAAGAAAAGAAAAACTGATGGATGATTTTCAGTTATTTGGAATTCTGCTTTTTTTTTTTAAAAGCTATAATAAGAATTGAAAGCAGAAAGCAACCATTAATTATGAGGATAGCCCCATATGCCAATTGGCATATACAGAACTTGTATGTTTAATATCTAGGTGATACTATACCAAAAAAAAAGTGAACTCACTTTAAGTATGATAAACTATTTTCCATTGCTACCAGCCCTAGATTTACGATCTTAGTTCATTAAAGCTTTCTAAAAGTAGTGCCTGTTAAGTTCTAATAAAGCTTTTATATAACACAGGGCCAAATGCAACTTAAATCCTAGCTTTCATTTGGAAGGCAAGCTTTATAGAGGGAAAAAAACTTAATTAAAAGGGGAAAAAAAGACATTATTGGTGATATCTTTGCCATTATAATTTTTAAATTAATAATATTTTGCCATTATATATTGGATTAAAATCATCTTTTTATACTTTATTTTTAAAACTAAGTTCAGCACAAGCTTAAATTACTCTGTTACTTTTACTGTAATGAAGAATGTGTGAGCCTTAGCAAAAGGGAGAGAAACAGGAGAGAGCTTCTGAGGATGCAAGCACCTCTGAAAAAGTAGATATAGCACATAGATAAGTCTCATCTTTCTGTGTGCCCAATTATCTGGATACTCAGAGACACACACAATAAGGCTGTTATTTTTCAATCACTGTTATCATTATCAATCTATGAGATTCCCTTTCTACTTTGCAGGATATTAGATGGACACAGTACAATTGGATATTTTCCATTTAACCTTTCTTCTTTAGGATTCTTAAGTGAATCTATAGATGTGAACTTTAACCTCTGTATTTACTAGATATTCAAATGAAATGAACCCCATTAATAAACTTGTATGCATGTATATCTCATATGTACTTCTTTTTAATACCAAACAAATGACACATCATTGTTACTTTCCCCTAAACTTTCTTCATTAGTGTTAACATTAGATGCTTGTATACATTTTAAAAAGGGCCCAGGGGAGCATAAATGAGTTTTAATGGAACAAAGCCAAGGGAAAATTTTGAGTTAACCAGATGTTTTAGTTTTGACAACAATTAAGATTAGTAAAATCCCCAAACAGACACTATTTCCTTGGAGCCTACATATACCAAAATTATAAACCAAATAGGGTCTAAGTACTAGGTAGGTAAAACAACGGCATCAGTAATTACCATTATTGTCATTATTCTCATTTACTAAGGGCTTACTATGTGATAAGAACTGTGCTAAATACTTTACACTGGTTATCACGTTTAATCCTCCTAGTAACCCTATAATGTAGATAGGGTCGTCACTGCCACGTTATACAATAGGACGCTAATGCTCACACAAATTAAGAAAATTTATCTGAAGTAACATAGCTGAAGACTGAGGGAGCTGGGATTCAAAGGCCGCATGACTCCAGAGTTGGTGCTTTTCTACCACACTAGAGTGCAGCATGATACAAATGTTTACATCATGAATGAAAACTAAGGAAACTCCTTACGAGATGATCTACACACTCAATTCTGAGCAGAGAAAATATCCCTAGCTTAGCCTTTAAGAACCCAATGTTTGCACTCTTTACCTGAGGTACAAATTATAAAATTACTGGGCTATTTCTTCATCTTTGAATCCCCATCACCCCAGCACAGTGCACGGTACACAGTAGATGCTCAATAAACGCTTGTTCATCAAATGAATGAGTGAATGAAAATAATTTAGTTACTGGTTTTCAAAAGAGTGGAAATGCTCTTCAAGTAAAATGGCAAATGCAACCAGCCTGACAAAGCTATTGTAAAAAGTTTTTTTAACTTTCATAATATTAATTATTGATCTCTTTTGTAAATAACAGCTAGATTTTTGTTTTTTCTGAAATCTATAGGTAAACTATATCTGAAGACAATGACAACACTCACTGTATACTTCTTGGTATGTAGTGAGGATGATTAATTGAGCAATTGAAAAAGAGGTAATTGAACTGTAAAATCACTGGACATTGTTATAAATTATTACAAAATGATTGGGTTTCAACCACAAATCTAAATGAAAACATAAAAGTCTAAGGGTTGGATGTGGTAGATTTTAAGATGTTAAAATTTCTGCAAAATCATTAAAAACATAACTTAATAATAGTACCTGCCAAGACAAAATGTTCAAGTAGCTCATCTTTCTATGCCAAGATCACTTCTGGAACCAGAAACCAGATGTATAGGTACATTCCTAAGATTATACCTTGAAGGTCAAGAGAAAAAAGTCAACTCTTCAGCTCTATTAAGTCAAAAACTGGCTTTTAGTTTACTAGATAATGGCCTAGAGTTATACCTATTTCTATCAATACTGTCATGAATAAAGAACTAGACCCCTAGTAAATTTCTATACACCTCCAATGATCAGTAAATCTGGACTTGTGGAAACTATGTAAAAATTATAATTTTCCTTTGAAGTTATTTACTTCTCTTATCATAGAAGGAGTCTCATCCTAAAGGCAGCATTCATTTATTGGTAGTTGTATACACAAATATTTTACATTATAATGAGAAAATTGTATTAGTCTTGTACAATTCTCACAATGTTATTGTATTGTGCTAAACAATCTCCATCAAAAACGGTATTTCACAGTCCGTTACTCTCTAGTGAGATTAAATACACGGTCCTCTACAGGCACTATCTCTGAAACATTTACATCAATATCTTAATTTGCCAAAATCCGCTTATTTCAAACGAAAAGAACTTTGATGAGAAAGAACCTTCTAGATGACAAAGGTTTCTTTCTAAATAATGTAAATATGGTTGCCATTTTAAACAATTGAACAAATCAATTAGTGAGTTACTGTAGCATTTGATAATGTAATCTGGTAGTTCAAATATAAGAAATGTTTTCATACATCTTCTATTTTCTTTCTTGGTGTCAAGAATAGAATAAGATCAGTTAATGTTAGTCAAAGTCAGAAACAATTACATACATGGCTAAGCTTTAAACAAATCAGATAAAAATTCTTTTCAACCTACAATATTGTAAGTTTCAAAATGAGTGCATATACTTAGCAACAGGCCTAAAATATCAGCTCTGATATGGATTTAATGCCAACTCTTGCATAATACTTTTCATTAAAAAACTCCAGAAATTTATTGGAACCCTTGCAAACCACCATCCTTCACTGCTGTGACATGTAAGATATAATTCATTATAGCATTAGGTGTATTCACTGATTTTTTTTAAGCACTTAAAATGAGCTATCTCTAGCCCTATGAAAAGAGACAGCTTACATAACCTTTAAAAAAATATTTCACACAATCTGTAAATTCTTTTGGTGCAACTGAACTATAAATTTATATTTAAAAATAGTATAAGTGAAAACATCTGTAGAATCCTTTGTTTAGGCTGGGTGCGGTGGCTCAAGCCTGTAATCCCAGCACTTTGGGAGGCCGAGGCGGGTGGATCATGAGGTCAAGAGATCGAGACCATCTTGGTCAACATGGTGAGACCCCATCTCTACTAAAAATACAAAAAATTAGCTGGGCATAGTGGCGTGTGCCTGTAATCCCAGCTACTTGGGAGGCTGAGGCAGGAGAATTGCCTGAACCCAGGAGGCAGAGGTTGCAGTGAGCCGAGATTGCACCACTGCACTCCAGCCTGGGTCACAAGAGCGAAACTCCATCTCAATAAAAAAAAAAAAAAAGAATCCTTTGTTTAATCAACTCATCCCATATCTTTTCAGAAGCATATGAAGCATTAATTATAAATTAATAAAATAAATTTAAGCTAATTAAAAAGACAGCAATTTGTTCTCGGATCATAAACTTCCGAAACTAAATTATTACAAAATTAAAATTCCTCACACAATTACACGATAATGTTGGTTTTTCTACAGGTCTCAGAAATCTGCTGGTTACTGAAGAGGGTGTGTTTATAAATTGCCACCAATCATATCACATTCACCTTTAGTTCCTTATCATCATAAAATGCAAATAAGTCTTAATTACTTGAAATGTCTTGCTGCAAAAAGTTTTAACCATTTGGGGTCAATAAAACCTAACATCAAATGATAGTAATATATGGATGCTGAACATGAAGGAAAAACTTCTCAAGAATCAAGATGATACTCTTTACTCAATTCCACAAATTATTTTTTCCTTAGATTAGGCTGCATCTAAATACTTTCCTTCTAACTTTACACATGGAAGTTACCACATCTTTTGAAACTAAGGCCATTCATAAGACCCTGGCAACACAAATAACAACACCCCCCCAACCTACACACACACGCACACACACACACACACACACACACACACACACACAGAGGTATGTAGAGATCTGGCCTCTGAGATTCCATATGGACTCATTTCTTTATAATGCAGAATTACTACAATAAGAAGAAAAAGACAAAAATCTACCAACTAGGCTGCGCTGCCATCCTCTCCATGTAGTCTTTGGCCATGTCTCGGGCTTCAATGTTCTCAGGATACAGCACACAGAACATTGCTAAGGCACCCAAGTTGTTTCCATAAATTTCATTCCAGCGGGCACTGTAGTCCTTGGGATCCCAGGGAGGAAGGTATTCCAAGGGGCTGGACAGCATCGTGTGCACAGCCTCCGTGAGACGGGCCGCAATATGCTCGTGTGAGCTGGCAGCCCTGAGCTGCAGCTCCGCCACCTCTGCTCTGGAGAAGTACAACATGGGGTGGCTGTCGTAGTTGGCATTGATGAAGGGAATCATGACTTCTGGGTTCTCGTCGGTGATGTAGGCTGACACAAAGCAAAGAAAATATATGAAAAACACACTGGGAGCCCCCCGTGTGTGAGTCCTCATCGTGGCATCAGATCTCCAAATCTCCAAGGCAGCCAAACCATCTTCGAAAGATCCTACATGAGATAAAAAGGAAAAAAGTGTCTGTCAGCCAAGAGAAGATAGTAAAGGTGTGGAAACATAGGGGAGGTATAAACCATATTTAAAAATAAAGCTATGAATTTAGATTTTAAAAAAATAACAAAAAATTGAATTGGGAAGAAAATTACCAAAACAATAAGTTCTGATTTTATAGAGTTAAACATACTGCATCAGAATTGTGTTCATTATGGAAAACAGAATTTTAGACTTAAGGAAAATGTATAATATTTGTTCAAGTAAGGAAAAAATTATCCTTGGTATTCTACTCATATAATATCATGCAAAAAAAATTAGATCGTATGATATTTTTTAGACATTAATACATAAACCATGATAAACAAAAGCTGGTTATGAACAATCATCTATCTGAGTAGATGTTACAAAAACCCAGAAAATCCTGTATTTCTTTCTTTTTTTTTTTTAATTTTTTATTGCATTTTAGGTTTGGGGTACATGTGCAGAACATGCAAGACAGTTGCATAGGTATACACATGGCAGTGTGTTTTGCTTCCTTTCTCCCCTTCACCCACATTTGGAATTTCTCTCCATGCTATCCCTCCCCAGCTCCCCTCCCTGCTGGCCCTCCCCTTTTCCCCTCAATAGACCCCAGTGTTTAGTACTCCCCTCCCTGTGTCCATGTGTTCTCATTTTTCATCACCCGCCTATGAGTGAGAATAATCCTGTATTTCTTACTACAGCCTCTTTCATTCTAACATATCTCCTCCTAACATTTCTGAACCCGGTATTAGGATCAATATATCTGTAAAACTGTAAGCAGACAAAATAATATGAATAAGGTTAAATACTCTCTTTATGTGAGCAGAAGGTGGAGACAGAGAAGACAAAGGCTGTGTAAACCTCTGCCAAGCCTGTGTGTTTCCTGGGCTGACATCAGCAAGCATGTAGCAAGACCAGCCACAGAGCTACTGGGACTAGAAACTGACATGCCTTCATTTGGAGAATAAAATCCCAGAATTAAAAGGCTGAAATAACACGTGTGCATTTTCCCCTTATTATTTGAAACTACTGTCTACTTCTTCATTGGGCATATGGGATTTTGGTGTCATTCAATAAGTGAGAAATTTAAACGAAGTTCACATTTTTTTTTAACTATTTAACTTTCTTCAAAGCCCCTTTTTCAGTGGCAGATTTGTGCACTGGTTAACAGAACGTCTTTCAAATGTAGAAATACCAAAAAATAAAAATAAAAAAAATCCCCAAAACCTCAGCCTAGTCAATGTCCCACATCTGGGATAAAGTAGGCAGAAAATCCCCCAGAGGAAAGTCAAGGAATTCTTAAAATTCTTAAGAGGGGAAAGGTTATAGAAAGCAGACCAGAAAAAGACAGTTTTATGTAAATAATGAATAGTGGTTTTCAATTATTAAAGGGAGAAACCGATGGTGAAAAATCAACCTCCCAAGCTGAACACAAACTGTTTTTCCAAGGAAAAACTGCCTCATCATATTCAGAAGAAGGAAAACTAATAATTTAACAGATATTGAAGATCAATCCACATTTTCAACTGCCTGTGTGTGTTTCCAAGAAAAACGCAATGTGGCATCAATTGAGGATGCTACCTTATTCTGGAATTGTTTATATTTCTACATATATATATGAAATTTGATGGCAGTGGTTTTGTAAAGCATTTTACGTTTATTTCAAGAGCAGAACTTCTGATGAATAAAAAAAATTATTATAGCCATACTAAATAAATCATGTGAAATAGAAATAACTCTTGGACTCTGCCAGTATTATGTCTAGCACCCAAAGTTTCAAGGCGGCTGGCAGGCTGGATCCTTCAAGGTCAGAGACTTGGCCAAAAGAAATAGTCTTCTGTGGTTATGTGTAAGGAGGGGTGTGGTCTCTGGCAACATAGAAAAATGGCTGGGTCTGAAGTAATGCTCAGTCCCCCGAGGGACTTATTCCTTGCTCCTTTTAGAGAACAATATACCGGCAGTCACAGTGGCTTACGCCTGTAATCCCAGGACTTTGAGAAGCAGAGGCGGGAGGATCACTTGAGGTCAGGAGTTGGAGGACCAGCCTGGCCAACATGGTGAAATCCTGTCTCTACTAAAAATACAAAAACAACCTGGGTGTGGTGGTAGGTACCTGTATTCCCAGCCACTGGGGAGGTTGAGGCAGGAATTGCTTGAACTCAGGTGGTAGAGGTTGCAGTGAGCAGAGATCGTCACTGCACTCCAGCTTGGGTAACAGAGCAAAACTCTGTCTCAAAAAAAGAGAGAGAGAGAGACAGAACAATATTCTACTAATGATTAAAAAAAATACTGTATATATTAAAAGAAAGGATGTATATATTAAGAGAGAGGATGTGGAGAAATAGGAACACTTTTACACTGTTGGTGGGAGTGTAAATTAATTCAACCATTATGGAAGACAGTGTGGCGATTCCTCAAGGACCTAGAAATAGAAATTCCATTTGACCCAGCAATCCCATTACTGGGTATATATCCAAAGGATTATAAATCGTTCTACTATAAGGACACATACACACAAATGTTCATTGCAGCACAGTTTACAATAGCAAAGACCTGGAACCAACCCGAATGCCCATTGATGATAGACTGGACAGGGAAAATGTGGCACATATACACCATAGAATATTACACAGCCATAAAATAGGATGAGTTCATGTCCTTTGTAGGGACATGGATGAACCTGGAAACCATCATTCTCAGCAAACTGACACAAGAACAGAAAATCAAACACTGTATATTCCCACTCATAGGCAGGTGTTCAACAATGAGAACACATGGACGCAGAGAGGGGAGCATCACATACTAAGGTCTGTTGGGGGGAAATAGGGGAGGGACAGTGGGGTGTGGGGAGTTGGGGAGAGATAGCATGGGGACAAATGCCAGATATAAGTGAAGGGGAGGAAGGCAGCAAATCACGCTGTCATGTGTGTACCTGTGCAACAATCTTGCGTGTTCTTCACATGTACCCCAAAACTTAAAATGCAATTTAAAAAAATGAAAAATAAAAAATAACATTAAAAAAGAGCATCCAGAGCAACAAGTTCATAATATTTATTGTTTACTGAAGCAGACTTAGAAAGAAGGAATAAAGGGGAGGAGGACTCAAGATGGTGCTGTGAGAACAACCCAGGATTGGAGCGCTCCTTGAATCCGCGGAGAGGTGAGTCGGAGCTGCATTTCCAGACTGATCTTTGTTGCCCACAGAACGGGGAAATTCCCAAGTATAAAGGAGACACGGGACACCAGGCAGTACCTCTGCGTGGCAAAGCCGGCAGCCGGGGTGGCGGCGGCTGGCCCTACCCAGCGCTTCCCACAGGGCGTGCTTGTCCGTGTGCCCTGTTGAACCGGCAACCTGAGATTTGAGAGGGCTGGACTTGAGACTGAACGAGACTTGGACAGTGGGCCAGCCCAGGGGATTGCAGGGACAGAGCGTCTGGGGCAGCCCAGTGGGACGAACAAAACCGCGATTTCAAACAATCCCCGTGCAGATGGTCCGAGACGCTCTGTGGGGGAGGGGCGTCCACCATTACCGAGGCAACCTGTCCCTACTGAGATACACGCCCACTGCTAACGCAGCCTGCCGTTGCCGAGGCAACCCGCTACAACAGAGAGACTCCGCTGCAGGGCGTGGCGGAGACCACAGCAGAACAGCAGAGCCTGCAGCAACAGGGCGAACCACACAACAGCAGGGCGGAGCCTCGGCAGGCAAACAGTGGCTAGTCTGCCTCCTAGCTGGGCAGGACATGTCAACAGAAATCCAAAAATAAAGCCCGAACCCCCCACCACAGAGCATTTGAGAAAAAAAGGGTTTTTATAATGAGCTCTGTTGCAGCAGAATCAAACATAGCAGCCTAACAGCCCTGAATGAACAACAGAGCTCACAGCTCAGCAATTGAGCTCCTATAAAGTACAGACTGTCTCCTCAAGCAGCTCCCTAACCCCTCTATATCCAAAAGACTGACCTTTGGCAGGCATCATCCTGGGACAAAGATAGCAGAAAAAGAAACTGGTAGCATCCCTCGCTGTGCCACAGCTGCTAGAGGTGCACCCCAGACAAGCAGGGCCTGGAGTGGACCTCAGCAGTCGTGCAGCAAAGGGGCTAGACTGGTAGAAGGAAAACCAAGTAACAGAAATACTTCATCATCAACAATCTGAGTGTCCACTCAGAGACCCAATCGAAAAGTCAGCAACTACGCAGATGACAAGCGGATACATCCACAAAGATGGGAAGAAACCAGCGCAAAAAGGAGGAAAACACCCGAAACCAGAACACCTCGCCTCCTAGAAAGGACCAAAACTCCTCACCAGCAAGGGAACAAAGCTGGACAGAGAATGACTGTGACGAAATGACAAAATTAGACTTCAGAAGGTGGATAATGAGAAACTTTGGTGAGCTAAAAGAACATGTATTAAATCAATGCAAAGAAACTAAGGAACTTGAAAAAAAGATATGTGGAAATGATAACAAGAATGGATAAATTAGAGAGGAATATGAATGAATTAAAGGAGCTGAAAAACACAATACAAGAACTTCGCGAAGCATGCACAAGTTTCAATAGCCGAATTGACCAAGCAGAAGAAAGAATATCTGAAGTTGAAGACCAACTCAATGAAATAAAATGAGAAACCAAGATTAGAGAAAAAAGTGCAAAAAGGAATGAACAAAGTCTCCAAGAAATGTGGGGCTATGTGAAAAGACCTAACCTACGTTTGATAGGTGTACCAGAAGGGGACGAAGAGAATGAATCCAAGCTGAAAAATACTCTTCAGGACATCATCCAGGAAAATTTCCCCCACCTAGCAAGATAGGTCAACCCTCAGATGCAGGAAATACAGAGAACACCACAAAGATATTCCGCAAGAAGAGCAACCCCAAGGCACATAATCGTCAGATTCAACAAGGCTGAAATAAAGGAGAAAATACTAAGGGCAGCCAGAGAGAAAGGTCGGGTCACCCACAAAGGGAAGCCCATCAGAC